TGAGTCGGGTGCATCGGGCTTAGTTAGGGTCCAAAATATAACAAATTATGAGCTTTTGTAGGCAAAAACCCACTTCATCAGATGAATTGGAGTGGAAATAACAGAATCCAAGAAATAAATATATATATTTTTTTCTTGGATTCTGTTATTTCTTGGATTCTGTTATTTCCACTCCAAGTCATCTGATGAAGTGGGTTTTTGCCTACAAAAGCTCATAATTTGTTATATTTTGGTTAGTCTCTAAGGTGCCACAGGACCTCTTTTTATTTTAAGTTGTTATCCAGAAGCACTGACACAAAGGAAAACTGGGACCCATTCCACAAAATGCACTGCTCAGTGGTCTGCCCGTTTGTTCTATTATTGCACAAATATACTCTGTGGAAATGGGCTAGCCCCTCTTGTGCATCACAGAAGCAGTATTGCCTGGAGACCAAAGGCAGCTTCTTCCTCCACAACAGAAGGCACTGAATTTCACCATGTCACAGCATAAAACAGGACAAGACAAGTGAGGAAAAGAAGGAGCAGCGGAGAAAGGCTGGAAAACAACAGGGAAAGGAAAAAAATAGAAGGAAGGAATAAGAGGATGAAAAACAGGAAAGAAAAACAGGGAACCCAAAGAAAATAAACTATCACATCACTGGTGGTGTCTGAGTACTGCCCCCTGAAAGTCACATTCCAGAATCGGAAGTGCTAGGAACAATATCAAATATCTAAAAGGGTGTCACAAGGAGGAAGGAGAAAATGTGTTCCTCTTGGTTTCTGAGGACAGGACAAGGAGTAATGGGCTTAAAGTGCAGCAGGGGAGGTTTAGATTGGACATTAGGAAAAAATTCCTAACTGTCAGGGTGGTCAAATATTGGAATAAATTGCCAAGGGAGGTGGTGGAATCTCCCTCTCTGGAGATATTTAAGAACAGGTTAGACAGACATCTGTCAGGGATGGTGTAGACAGAGCTTGGTCCTGCCTTGAGGGAAGGGGGCTGGACTCAATGACCTCTCGAGGTCCCTTCCAGTCCTATGATTCTATGAACAGTAGCATCGCTGTGATTGGATGCAGGGGGAGCGCACGGCTCTCACGGTTAATGTTGTGAGCAACCAGCATGCACCTCACTTCACGGGCCCTGACTTTTCGTTTATCTCACTTTAGTAATATTGGTAGGAAAAAAACCTATGATGACGGAAACCGGTAGACTCTGGCTACCCTTGTGTGTGGACAACGGCAAACAAACTATCTGGCGGGCCACACAGTGAAACCCCCAATGGGCTGTAGGTTGCCCACCACTGCCCTAGAGCATCTGGGTTTTTTAAGGAACATAAAAAAAAATGAAGATACTAAACCAAAAATGTAATCAATAAACACATTTTCACATGTTCAAAGTGGAAAAAAAAATCTGTCTCCCAGATGATGCGTATCAATTTATAAAAGTCAGAGAATAAGGAGCATCTGGTTTTTTTTCTTTTTATTTGGGAAGTGGTTTTCATGGCTTGAAGTTGATGTATAATTTATGAAATGTAAATAGGAGTCTAGAAGATGCTCACTCTTTAAGCCGAGCAGGGATTTTTCCATGCACAGAGCTAAAATTGGAGGGCCCCTATGGAAATTTCATAAGGTCAAAGCTGCTCCATAGCCCTTTATAACTAACATGTTACACATCCTTTGTGTTTTTATTACTCTTAACACAATGTATGGAGGCATTTGGCAGAGCTCTTTTAAGAATTTAGCATGAAAGTTCAGGTGAGGGGCTCTGTGGGGGTCCACGGTCACAGGACCGTGACGCTGCGGTGTACCCAATAGCAGCTGGCTGTGCCTCACAGTGAGGCATGGGACAGTGTGCTGTTCTCCGTGCTGCACCCTTGGCGGAACTGTGGGCTCTGGGCTGAGTCCCTGGCCAGTTCCAGCCGGCATCCACCCTTTTCCCTGGTCCCACCGAATGTGTGTGAGCAGCACGGTCCCAGGCGTGCCCTGCAGCTGCCTGCCGCGGCTACATGCTGCTCGGTCACCAGGCTGCACGTGCTTGCACGTGCTGCTTGCTGCCTCATGCTACGCCGTT